TAACAGGTCATAATGACCTAAACCAAAAGTTGGATTTTTTTTGTTTTGTTTCGGGTTTTTTTGTTTGTTTTTTTGTTTGGTTTTTTTGGGGGTTTGTTTTTTTTTGGGGGGGGGGGGTTTGTTGTTTTTTTTTTGGGGGGGGGTTTGTTTTTTAGGAGGTTTTTGGAGGTTGTTGTTGAAGCCTTCTCCTTTAGCTTTTTTGTTTTCCTTTGACATCTCTTGAAACTACTGTCTATAATTTCAGACCCATCTCTAAACAGAGCAGACTCACATGTCAATGTATGTGATTCTCAGCAAAAAAATATGTTTTCCCACTTCTTAGCATTTTTTATATTGGTACAATCAAATAATTAATAACATCACCCACGGTTCCTTGCTCTTTCAGTTTTCCCATCAGACAGTTGCCTTGTTTATTTATTTTTTCTTCTGGATAGATAGAAATTGCAGCCAATATGTGTACTGGCCAGCCTTTGGGAAAGGCAACAATCACTTCTAATCTCTTTCTTCTTTGTATCTAGAATGTCCTTTGGGACAGGGCTGCCAGCCACCACTCCAGACCCCATGACAGATCTTATTTTTCCTCTCTTTCATGCTTTTAAAACTCTCTAGCTTACAAATTCATGTCAGGGTTTTACAACATTTACTGAATTGTGAGTATGTGGGTTAAAAGCTGTATACCATAGTCCTATTTTAAATTACAATAGTTACAGTAAAGTCCATTTTCTGATAAAAAATTATGTCTTCCCACTGAAGAGGTTTCACTTGCCTTCCAGCCAGTCTCTCTCAGGCAGATCCTTAGTCTGAGCCTACTCACTCATTCTGGGAAATAAGATGCAAACAGTAATAAAAATTTTAAATCTGCAAAGAGTAGCTGGAACTCAGTATAAAGTGCTTCAGTATATAAGGAATGAAGTAGATCAATATCTCCTTCCAGTCCATGAAATAAAGTTTGGCATACATGAGGCACAGCAAGCACAACTTTAAAAGGTCTGTATCTTCAGAAGACCAGATCACCTCAGAAGTAATTAACTGTTCATCACGTAGCAAGAGGGGTTATTACAGAGCACCAGTTCTACTATAAGCATTCATACACGCTTCCCAAAATCTCAGCCTGTAGCACACACAAAAAGAAAGTGACCTTGAGGTCAGAAGCAAATTGCTATTATACATCACCAAGGACAGCATGTCAAGTACCATATTTATGTGTGAAGTGGAAAGGAATTAATGAACAGAATTCAGACAGTGTGTGCTCTCTGGAGCAATACAAATGAATGATGTCTTGCAACTATTATTAAGCCAGATCTATTCAGATAGGAATTACTAACATATTAACATGGTAAATGATTTGTTAACCATTGTGACTTTAAAATCTATTACAACAATCTATAACAAAAAGTTTGCATTCTTTTACTCTGAGGCTTTTAACAAGCCTTTCACTTTCCAAAATAAACATTCAGTTGTGAAGAGGCTGTTCAGCTATCATGGGCAATATACACAGTGCTCAAACTTTGGACTGCTAATGAAATACCTAATGTTATATAACAAGTTCCTCAGGATTTTGCATGAGGTTGACATAAATAATTCATGCCTGAATGTTCAATTGTCAGCACAAATGACACTGAGTGTCTGCTTAGTTTTACCACTTGATTTTTTTTTAATTCTGAATAACTTGTTCTTTACTGCAGGCCAGATTTTTTCACTCCTGCCCCTAGTCATAGAGGTTTCTACACAAATAAATTTAATCAGTACCAGTGATGAATAAATTTGGTAAAAGACAAAAAAAGACATCCTTAACAGGAATAAACTCTGTAAGAAATGTCCCAAAAAACTCTGGCACTGAACTATCTTAGAATTTGGAAAGGAACAATTTACAGTTTTAGGTACCTACTTTCAAAGAACCTAGTAAAGTGACTTCCCTCTAGTGCTGCCTCAAGGAGAAGAGAATACATTTTATTATATTTTTAACAGATAGAAAAACACTATGCAGGCCTGTGGTTATGTAGACTGAGTACAAAATTAACTTTTTTTTTTTTTTTTTTTTTTTTTTTTGTAACTGAGAAGGCAAAACTTTTAGGCAAAGTTAAATTTCCAGTCATTCCCAGAGCAGGTAACCAGTAGAGGATAAAACCGAGTGTTAAAAGTGTGGTGGTGGATACCATACAGTATCAAGCAATCTGTGCAGTTGTTATTATAATTTCCCTCTCTTTCTTTATTTTCTCAACTGCAACTGCTCATTTTAGTAAGAGAAACATGGAGCATTGACATTTATGCTGAGATAAGTTAAAATCTATGCTGTGCTTTTGGGAAATGATGTGTGAAAAAACCAAAAGACCAAGTTTTTAAAGTAATTTCACAAGAAATAAACATGAGATTGCTTATAACATCATCAGGAAACCAGGTATCAAAAATACCATAGACATAATAGAATGAAATTCCTCAAGAACAATGGAGAACTAGATATTTTGGAAGTAAAGAACATGGTATTTTTTGAGCCTCCAGTGAACATAAGTTGAAACTGAAGCTGTCTGCATAGGAGAAAACAGTCAAATATCAGGTCAACAGCTCCCACCTCTCACAACAGTGTCTGAGTCAAACAGCTCCCACTGACTGGAATGTTTTGTGCAGTTCTGGGAATTTTTGTGCATTGTGTGAAAAGTAATGAGAGAGAGAGAGAGATTCTGGAATAAACTAGTGCCTGCCTAAACTTTCGGTGATTTGGCTTCATGCACCTCCAAGGTAATGAGGCGTGAGTTCAAAAGGTTAGATCTCACACAAGTCAACATAGAGGCCAAGAGGGAAACTTTCCATTTGAAGCTCTATTTTTCAGAGCTGTTTATATATGAATGGTTCCAAAGAAAATAAACAAAAGAAATCCATCTTAATTTAGCTGTGAAGGTTGTCAATAATTGCTGCAGCTGAAGGGCCTTCAAACACACTTGACCTGACTACATTATCAAGTATAAACTGTGCTTCTGTTTGTTTGCTTTGTCCTCTGGATATGTACAAATGTGACTTTCTGGTGAAATATTCTTCCTGAGACAGAGAAAAGTGAGACTCAATCCTTTAACAGACTATAAAAAAAAAATCAATATTTTTCAACAAATCTGACACTCACTTATGGAGCTGTAAAAGGATTAAATAAGTGGTAATATTTTTCTTGACTTATACATGGCTTCCATGAATCATAAAGCATACAGCTGCTATGTGCATGACGCCAAGTATTCTGCCCACAAAAATTCCCCTAATAATGAAGAATTTTCTCAAAGATTCAAATGCTTCTTGTACTCTCAGGAATTATTTTATTTGCTAGGCAAACTTTCATCCCTGCCTTCAAGAAGTTTTCACTCCTTCTGTAATATTAATGAGATTCTTCTCTGTCTTCATTGTAAAATCTGGAAGGAAAGAGCATTTCTGCTCTAATCTTTTGGCACCTGAACATTTAATTAAAAGACTTTCATAGCTCTCAAAAAAAAGCATTAGCTTTGGCAAGTACCCCAGCACACTCAGGAAATCACAAAGAAAATATTGTACTGTAGACCTCTGTTTACTAAAACTACAAGGGCAGACCTCATTACCTTGCTTATTCTTGGTTTTCAGTGTTTTTAATTTTTTCACTACTGCAAAATAGGGAACTCAGCTGTTGTATATGACTAGGGCATGCATTTTTCCACATGTCATACAGAGAGCACACATATTTGATAATTTGATGGAAGTGGAGTCATCCTCTGAGCTGGAGTGTCCTCAGTCATCAATATCATCAGTAAACCTAAATAAGTGAACCCAGGAAGTATCTTCACATTATCTTTCTGTGCAGTCTGGTCTGCCAGACTACTTGAACTTGTCCCTAATTGTGCATCATCGCTGACAGCTACAATGGCGTAAAGAATTTGTAAGTCTATCTGGATCAGTGGCATAAAAACTGTATCCATGAGGGTCACAGCCTATTCCACAGTAAAAAGAAATATGTCCGAACTCAGTAAATTACTCTGAAGAATGTTGTCTTCCCTCTGTGCATTTCCACTGATACCAAATGAATATTGTTCTTCTACGTTAGCCTGTGAGAATGCCCCATCTTCAGATGGAGGAACATGAGTGTCAGTTTGGTAGCAAGACTCTCAAAGCTGTATAGGCACATTCACAGGCACATAGCATCCTTAGCAGAAGTCAGTAGATGTTTCATTTGAACAAATTTTTCTTTGTTCTTCTTTCTGGCACAAGGAAGTGTGGCATGTAAGCAGTTAAATTATTTTGCCTTCTTCCCCGCCCCCCACCTTTGTTGCCTAACTTTTTTTAAAAATTTTGAACTGAAACTACAATTTTTTTATTATGCTGAGTCTTTCCTATAAGAAAGATTTAGGCTAATTCCAAAAGAAGACTCAAGGGAGAATGGTTCCTATAGACTAATCACAACCTCAGGGAATTGGCATATCTATCTTGTATGTTGCTATGGCCCAAAGATGCAATTATCTCATACCAGCTGCACAATTTATTGTGACTGTTAATGAAGGACGGATACATGTGCAAAATTATACAGTTAAATCCAAAAGCAGAGTCACATATAAAAGACCAGCAACATTTACAGGCAATTATTGAACTAATCAAAATATGTTTTTCTGTAGACCCAGAGACCTCATTTATGTAACGAATGATGATACCTCTGTAATATTACTTGTGTAAGCAAGGATACAGGACCAGGTCCCAACTAACCAACTTGAAGCACCAACTGTAGCAGCATGCAAAAGTTGCAATTTAATGAAGTGTCAGTTATAAACTGCCAATTTTAAATGGATTAGGCAGTCAGATTCACAATAAAAATTGCCTCTGGGGAGAATCTTGGCCTACTTAATTCACAGGCATGGAAACAATTAAATTGTAAAATAACTCTGCATAAAGAAATCATTGGAGAAATTGTTCCTGATATATTTTCTGCAAAATATTAAAAGTTTCAGTTTTAAAAATATTTATGTAAGTATAAGAACTGAAAAAGTCCCAAAATTCAATTGCAGTATAAAATAAAATGTTTAATGTGCCAGTACTCAGCTTCTCATACAAAATAAGAGTATGCAAATTTATCATAAACGTCTTTGCCACTTTCTTCTTTACCTCTATACTTTCCCTTGGCTTTCAAATTTCCTTAGTCAAAATTTTCTACCACTTCTGTCTCCCTCTTTTCTGCCACCCTTCCAGTGAGGACCTGCATGCTTTCTCTTAACAGCCACACCTTTACTACAATAATGGACTAAATTAATACAAATTTTTTCCCAGCTATTGGTGAGAGAAGGACAAATAACCTCTATTTCTGAAATGTACTGACTTTAGTCTGCATGAACTGGCACACATGCATATAAATGCACAATTACACCTATATGAAAGCCAAACCTCAAAGCCAGGAAATTGATTCAAAAACTCTGTGGGACCTGAAATGTTGGTTACATTTCTCTGGTACTTGGGTGTTTCAAATACCATTACTGGAAAGAAAAAGTAAAAGAAAAGACTAAAATGCTCCTGATGTTATTGAAACAAAAGTCAACTACTGCTTTTTTTAATACTCAGAGAAAATTCTTTGGACCATGTAATTTACCTGAAAAATGAACAATGTTCAATTTACTCAAATTATTTTTCCCAATGTGTAAAAACACAAGGAATTTATTACAGATTAAATAAAGATTTGGTAATTTCAAGATCCCACTGTTTTTTGGGGTTTTTTTGTTGTTTTTTTTTTTCAGATCATTTTCATGGACTTCCAGGCTGTAGGCTATTTCATAATCTACACTTACAGACTTCACAGACTTCCAGGCTGTCATAGACTAGATGGCAAGACATGCAACAGGAATAAGCTCTGTAAAATATATCGCATTTGATGTCTTCCACTTCAGACCATCCTTCATCCTGGAATCAAATGTAGATAGATATCAAGAGTCCTTCACAACATGATATTCAAACAGAATCCTAAAAACATAGACATTTGGAGTGGATCTTCTGGAGGCAGCAATTTCCATCGGTAATTTTTCAATGATTTACTGGTTTCAATTGGTCATCACATGTGCACTGCCTCCACTTGCACAAAAAAACCTTATCTTATCCTTGATGAATTATTTAAGATAGATTTTTAAGAGATAGGGTAGTGCAGAATACGGCTGGAATCCAAGAAAGCCAGTTTTTAAACAGGTACATGTGTAAATTTAATTATTCCATTTCAAAAGACATCAAGTGCAGTACCAAAAGGCAGCAGATTGAATGAAGGGCATCCTTATAGTCCAATACAACAAAAAAAGATACAATATAAAACTTAAAACAAATCTAATATATGGCATTAATTTTCAAACTACCTGTCTTTTCTGGGCACTCATTTAATATATGGAGTAACAGCTCACATCCATCCTCTTCTTCAATAGCAGATGTTTTGAATAGAGGAACTCCATATGTCTTGTCCTTTAGGCTTCATCCAAAATTTTACAGATTATTTTGAGCTGTGGAAACAAACAGTAAATTTTCCTTATTTCTGCCACTGAAGGTGTTCCACTTTGTAGAAAGAAACTCTCAAATTTAGCAAGACAAAGACAGTGAATAAGAGGGCATGATTCTCAGCCCCAGTGGAATAACCCTGGTCTCCAGTTTCTGGTTCACATTCCGTTTTATTTGTCTGATTCACTACTTTTTTTAACATGAACTACAAAACTGGTTCACTGGTTTGGCTTTGTTTGGACAGCATTTTTGAGGTTTCACAGTTTTGCTGTTGGCAGATTTGACCTCATTAACACCCTCATTGTTCATGTTGGCAAGTGGTTAAAGTTTATTTTTTGTTAAATGCATCAGTCTGCTCACCCAACTGTAAAACAAACCAAAAAAAAAAAAAACAAAAAAAAAAAACCACAGCTATATCCAAAGATATTATTGAATTTCATAAAAAAGCAAAGCAATATAATGAAATATCCAAATAAACATAATGTAATTTTAATTTGAATCTACATTTGCAATGTCAGTGCTTTAACTGAAAAACCTGTACAACTTGGCACAGCTAAAAACTACATGAACATGGACAGGTTCCTACACTAATGGTTTAAAACCTGATTGCAACGAGCAATGAGAAATTCCCCTGAAATCCAGGACAATGCATTATAAGCAGTTGTACAGCTTCATAACCCAGAAAGGGTGTCAAAAGAAATTTCACAAGCCAGAAAGAACCCATGCCTCCCAAATGGAAGGTAACACTGAAGGGAAGAACGTCTGTCTGTGGGTGAAATTCCTAACATCTATGAAATTTTCAGCCTGTACCTCTTAGCCAGTGCTGTCTGCAGGTGATTGAAGGAGAAGGGGAATAAAACAATCTTGTGGGCATAAAAATCTTGCCTAAATCTTTTTAGAATAATGCATTTCTAGTAGAAAACCCTGCAGCTTTACAATTCTAGCCTTACACATCTTTGGAAAACAGGTGTAGGGGAAGTTCATGTTTGCAGTCCTCAGTGTTTGAACACTATCCTCTGAGAGATCCACAAACACATGGACACAAATGCCATGGCCACTGTCAGGCTGACAAGTAATTTGTCAGTCAAAACCAGGCAAGCAAGAGGTGACACCAGGCTGCCAGAGGTGGCTCCAGGCAACAGGAGAAGTCTGCATCTTGTACAGAAGGACCTGATACATTACTAAAATGAAGGAGTCCAAAGTGGGACAGGACTCATGACATAGGACAGCACAGGCAAAATTACAGGCAATGCAGCCACACAGGGAAAGAGAGCATAGTGAAGAGACACCTGAGCTAGAAAAAACCTGCAATAGTGAGTGGCAACATTGCAGCTGAACTTCTTGTAGACCTCAGCAGAGCAGATGTGGGCACATATTCACTAACATTCAGTAGTGGGAAGTGTTCAGCTGCATGTAGTGCTGCAGTAAATGATTCACTGTCTCAGATCTCCAGACATCTCCATTTCATGTATAGACACAGGTGGGGAGATTAAATAACTATCCATTTAGACTTGCCTTCAGACATGCAACTCTTGTTTCTTTCATTAAACTGTGAGAAGAATAGAAAAACAAACTAATCCAGAGGAAATAAAATTGCTCAGAGGAATAATTATAGCAACTTTCACCTCAGCAGCTGGGTCACTGGTTCAAAATCATTCAAATCACTTGTGACTGAAAGTCATTACCAGTTGACTCCACTCAATGAGCTTGTGCTTCAGGTCAGAGTAATAATTACTGCAGGACTAAAACTGCCATTAGTGGCTCCATTAGTAAGGCAAAAGAGGAAAAGAGCGAGAGAGAAGTAGCAGTCTCAGTCTCATTAGTGCTACTTTTCAACCAAGAATGAGAGGAGAAAATACTTAGAGGAATCCAGCACTGCTGAGGCCCGATTTAGCTGCCCAAAGCACCATTTGCAATACTCCAGTAATATCACACCTGCACTGCATCTGCATCTCCAGAAGGACACTGGTCCCCCTTGGATCTTACCTGTCACATCCACCAGTGCTGTGTAGATATGATAAATAGCCAACCTCATCTTGGCCCTAACACTTGTTGCCCATCTGGGGACAGATGAGCTCTGCCCTTTTTATTCCACTCTCCCAGTACTCCCAAATAGAAACTCCAGCTTCAAAAACTATTGTGTTATTAATAAATTGAAGTCTCTCCTTTTCCCTGTTTTTTGTCTTTGACAACTAACATAAACCACACAGAAATTAGGAAATATTGTCAGAAAATATGTGCATATAAATTATGAAAAACAGGTATTCAGCACACATCCACCTGGAGACCCATTTTGCTAAAGATTCCTTATAGCCTGATATCTGCTGTTTAACCAGCAATTTACCTATACCTGGGATGGTTATTTTCCTTATAGGAAGTGATACCTGAGCATTTCTGTATCATAGAAACAAACTGAAGAAGCTGAGCTGAAGAGCTGCTCTACGAAGGGTAGCCAGGCTAGGAGTGAGAATTATGACAGCTCAGTGTGGCTGGACATGCTGATGGCTCTCTGGTACATGAACTACAGTGTAATACAGCTCAGCTAGGATGTAAAACCCACTGTTCTGTCAAGTCAGTGATAGACACAGATGAGGCGAGGTGAAAAGTACAGATTTACATCAGCCTAAAGGAACATCATGGTGGCAAACAAAACATTTAAGAGATTAGTTTCTTATGTTTTCAAAAGTAGCTCTGTGAAAATACCAAATATTAATGACCATGAATCCAGAGGGCTATGAATAGAAAGCGGTGTTATAAAAACAGGGACAAATGTGTGAATACTGTATTAAAGATTTATTATATAACATCTCCCATTGTAGCAATTTCTGGTAGTTTTTAAAAATACATTTGCTTATGTGACTGGATTCTTTATACCCAGATACCATTCATAATAACATGCACTCATAATAACAGGATGGCCTTATTAGCATTCCATATTTAAAAGATCAGCTGACATGTTCAATTGGGTCTTTTAATATTGTAACTGTTTTTCTAATGGTTGCTATTTTAATTTCTCTGTCACTTTTAAAGTATCACTCTCTTAAATATTTATTTCTTTCTTTAAGCACAGTGTTTTAATCCAACATCAGCTCCTTAGATTTTAAGAGGTTATTACAACACATCAAACATATGGGCTCATTTCAGCTCCCAGTGTACATAAAATTAGTCAAAAAAAATACTACCTATTTGTTACCAAAACATGTGGTTCAATCAGTAATTTAGCAAGAACAATACATTTTATTTTTTCTCGCCTCACTCTTATCTCTGTAGATCACACAGCAGAAGCCAGAATTGTAAAATGAAGTTCACCGTCTCTCCCTCGCTCTGTTCCTCACATATATTTCATTCAAGGTTGTCTCCACTTTCAAGGCAACAATTGCTTTCAGAGATTGGGAAATCTATTTTCAAAATTTATATTGCCTTTTGGAATTACAGAAACAGATAAATCTTGCAACAGTGGTGGAAGAAAAACTTCAAACTATATAGACATAGTATTGAAAACCTGAGATAATTCCAGAGTCTTTCTCACAATAAAGATTTTTTTTTTCCTGTTTCTATATGAGAAGGGGGAAAAAAGGCCTATGGGAGCATATAAGTTTAATGCCTGACCTCCTGTTAGAACAGAAGCACATCTGCTTTCTAGGCAGTAAATTCAAGCATTGATCTTGGGACCATCAGTGAGTGGCTCTGGCTCCCTCTCCACTGGCTCTGTTTTGGGGCACCATGCAAAACTGCCATCATGATAATGTCCAGGGACATTTCAAGGTATAATATGCCCCCAAGATCTCACAATGTAGTTATAAAGAAGATACACATTGGCTTTGCCACCTTCTATCCATGCAGCCCCCAATTGCTACCCTAGAAGGCTCTGCACTCTTGGGATCCTCACACCACATCCTGGAACAGATAAAATACACGCTCAGATTCATGCTCTAAATATACCACAACCTCACATTACTTCTATGTCTTTGAATTGGAAAAAGCAGACCCAATATTTATTGCATTTGAGGGCCACAGGAGGGTCATGCTAAAGGCAAAGAACTCCGGCACAGAGAGGAAGCAGCTGCCCTGCCCAGAGGAAAGCTCTCCGAGCAAGGGGAGGCAGCATGGCACGGGAATGATCCTCACCCTCCCACCATCAGCAGCATGGGCACAGCCAGGGAGGAAGGCAGAGCTCTTCCTCACAACATTCACTTCACTTTCCTTCCTGGAGAAGCAGGAGCCACCAGCAGCCTCCAAAAGGGGTGCTGCCCTTTGGGCTGCCAGTCTCCCACTCACACTGGCAGACAGCAAACCCAGCAGGCTGAAGTATGAATTACTACCTAGTTAGTTTGATGTTCACTGGGACAACTGTAAACCAGAACAGATAAATTGCCAAATTGCCAAATTCATGACATTTGGGCTGACTTTGAGAAGGATGTGGGGCCCACTCCTGTGCCTGCCTGTGAAGGGACACACAGGACAAACAGATGCCAAACCAAACTGTAATTCACCAATGATGTGTGCTGGCATCTCGTAGCTGTCAGAGGTTTCAGGGCAGAAAGCAGACCTTAAACATAGCTTTAAAGACAAAAATACTACTAACAGCTTTATCTGCTTAGAAGCATATTTCCCATTTAGCACAACTCCACAACTATCTGTGAACAGATAGTTCAGAAAAACTGTAAAGAAAGATTGAAAGAAATCTTTAACATTCATAAGTAAGGAATTATAGAGTAACTCTGATATGAGAAAATCAAAGAAAAAATGAGTCCTAATATGACCAGTTTTAAAAGAAAAATGCTTTTGCGTATAAACATGCATATGTTCTATTTACTCATATTTTTTCACAAGATTTTCTGATTAAAAAGAATCCAAGGATCATGTTGCTGGGGAAACTAAAATGATGGTGTAATCATCTGAGAAAGTGTGAAATGTAGAATTAACACCACTGAATTGAATTTAATAACACTGTACAACATCAGACCTAGCCTTAAATCAATATTTAATTTTCTCAGCCATATTACAGATTAGTTGTAGCCATTATATCTCCAGGGAATATCAACCACCCCACAGAGGGTCAGCCTACCCAAGTACTAATTTGCAGGATCTTCTAGTGGATAGATGACAAAATATTCTTTCAGAGTTTGTAACTCCAGTTTCCATAAATATTTCAATTTTTTTCATCCCCAATATTCTACTGTATTTGGTTTTACCCACTTAAGCTCAGTGATACTTATGACACATTACAGCTATTATTTCTAAAACTAGACAAAACATAGCCCACCTTTGGAAGGCATCAAAAATAATAATCACTAATGCGAGTGCATAAAAATAAGATTCTACACCCACTGTTTTCAAGAAGGCTACTTTCAAATAAAAGTCAGATCTGAGCTTTAGATTAC